GTAGAGTGCAGCACGTGTGATGAGGGTGAGTTATGACAGCCACGAGCCCACCCTGGGGCCAGGATGGGCCTTGTTGTGTCTCTGTGCCTCCTCCCCGGCCCGCTCCCTCCCTCGTCTGGCTCTACACGTCAGCCCAGTGTCTTTTTGAAAAAAGTTTCGCTGCATACGTTTATATTCTAAACCATATCTAGTCTCCGTGTTCCTGAGCTTTATGAAAACGCGTTCATCCTGTGTGTGTTTGCACTGACCTCCGAGGTTCGCTCATGACGCCGCTGGTGGCGCCAGTGCAGTGGTTTTCACTGCTGGTGTGCAGTGCGCTGGGCGGATTCGCCAGGTTGTGCTTACCAGGTGCTTCTGGTTTGCTGTGAACATTTCTGTGCTGTGCCTTTGGGCGCAGGAGCAGCAGTATCTCTGGAGGGTACGCCCGCCCACCCGTGAAAGTGGACAGATGCACCACGGCACAAGTGACAGATTGTTTCCAACAAAATAAATCTGCACTTCTGCCAGCATTCTGTGTGATTCTGTAACTTACATCGGCAACAAAAACCCGAAATTATCAGACTTTTAACTCCCTAGCCAATCAAGTGAGTGTGAACTGTCATCTTACTGTAGTCTTCATTTACTATCATTAATAAGATGGAGAATGTTTGTGTTTAGTCACCTTTTGGGTTATTTCAGTATGAAACCTGTTCGTATCTTTTTAATTATGTAATATTTTAAAATGTATTTTATTTGGGTAAAAGGCAGACATAGGGAGTTTCTATCCACTGGGTTATTCCCCAGATACCTACAGTTAGGAGCCAGAACCCAATCCAGGTCTCCCCCATGAGTGGCAGGGACCCAACTACTTAAGCCGTCACCTTGCATCTCCCAGGGTGGACATCAGTATGAAACTGGAATTGGAGGAGAAGCTGGGACTTGAACCCAGGCACTCCACTATGGGATACTCGCATCCCAACCAGCACCTTCGAGGCTAGACTGAAGTTGCTCCCCCGTTATGAAGCATGATACGTACAGTGTAATACAGTGTTTCTAACAGGTGCGCCATATGAGGTGCAACAGCAGAGCGAACAGCCAAGGGCTCCGCCCGCTCAGAACACTGCAGTGTTATTACAGTGTTTCTGATGTTCAGATTTTGTTCATGGTGGTTTTTTGATAATGGAGTTAATAACCCCTTGAAGGGTAGTTGTGCTGCAGACACCTTTTCACAGCTGTGGCTCTTTCCCCTTTCTTTGTGGACAGCGCTATTTCATGTTAACATGCGGAGGTGTCCCAGTGTTGGTTTCCTGCTTGGCACACAGAGTGCTGTTGGTTGCTGTGTAGATTCCCCAGCGGTCACTCGCCCTGCACTTCCAGCCCGGTGTGTCTCGCTAGGCGTCCCTTCCTCGAGGCCGATCCAGTGTTTGCCTGAGGGCATCTGGATTTGGCCCTTGTTGTTGAAAGACAGGCGGGGGATGCAAGGGGACAGCAGTTGCTCTCCCCGGCTCTGCAGTCCCCCTCAGCTGCTGCTGAGCCCTTCCTGTGGGTCCGCGTGTCCTCCTTTGGACTCGCCTGTCTTTCCTCTCTGTTTCTCAGAGCTTCCCTTTACCCGGGACGTGTTGTTGGTTTGCTGAGTTGTGTCTCAGTGCAGATTTCATTCCGTTTGTCCTGTTTGACTTTTGCCCATGGTTGCTTGCATCCATTCTGAAAACACTCCCACCTGTCATGTCTTCTCCCTTCGCCTTCGTCTGGAGTGTGTGCTTTGTCGTAGACCTCGTCTTTCTGTCTTCCGCGTCTCCTTGTCTCTGTGTCGTGTGTTCTGCAGAGTTCCTTTCGCTCGCTCTCGCCGTTTTCTAGTGCTGTCATCAGCTTTAGAGGACTTTGTTTCTCTTGTGACCTTTGCCCTTTGGCCAGGAGGCGACACTTGCGTACTTTGAGACTGAAAACCTACACACAGCACAGTGAGCATCCTTTGAATGCTTCCCTTCTGAGAAGGCTTGCGCCTGTGAGGGCCAGTGCGCAGAACCAGCCTGGGCCATTCCTCCTCGGCTTCAGGCAGGAATCGCAGGCTTCGCGCCCCCAGCCAGCACTAGCAGTGTTCCTGCCCCGCATCTGAGTCACCCTGCCACCTTTGTTCTACTTCAGGGTTCCCTTTCTCTTACAGACATACTCACATACCTTCAGCTGCCAGGTCCATTAATTGTTTTTTTTAATAAAGATTTTATTTATTTATTTGAGAGATAGAGTTACAGACAGTGAGAGAGAGAGAGACAGAGAGAAAGGTCTTCCATCTGTTGGTTCACCCCCCAAATGGCTGCAATGGCCGGAGCTGCACCAATCTGAAGCCAGAAGCCAAGGGCTTCCTCCGGGTCTCCCACATGGGTGCAGGGGCCCAAGGACTTGGGCCATCTTCCACTGCTTTCCCAGGCCATAGCAGGGAGCTGGATCGGAAGAGGAGCAGCTGGGACTCGAACCGGTGCCCATATGGAATGCTGGTGCCACAGGCGGTGGATTAACCCACTGTGCATGGCACCAGCCCCTGGCCCATTAATTGTTAGAACTGCAACAATGTGGCCAAACTATGTTTTGTTTTTTTTGTTTGTTTGTTTTGTTTTGTTTTGTTTTTGACAGGCAGAGTGGACAGTGAGAGAGAGAGAGACAGAGAGAAAGGTCTTCCTTTTGCCGTTGGTTCACCCTCCAATGGCCGGCGCGGCCGGCGCACCACACTGATCCGAAGGCAGGAGCCAGGTGCTTCTCCTGGTCTCCCATGGGATGCAGGGGCCCAAGCACTTGGGCCATCCTCCACTGCACTCCCGGGCCATAGCAGAGAGCTGGCCTGGAAGAGGGGCAACCGGGACAGAATCGGGCGCCCCAACCGGGACTAGAACCCGGTGTGCCGGCGCCGCAAGGCTGAGGATTAGCCTATTGAGCCGCGGCACCAGCCCAAACTATGTTTTATGAATGATGTAGTCATTCCACTGCCAGCAGCCTGTCTGAGGTTGTGGTCTCCAAATCCCCAGGGAAAGTATCAGCAGGGAAGTTTACTATTGAGTGTCTTCACATTATCCTTTTTTTTTTTTTTTTTTAAGAAAAAGATTTATTTGAAAGGTAGATTTACAGAGAGGGAGGGAGGAAGTGTGGGGGTGGGGGGAATCTTCCATCCTCTGGCATCCTCTGGTTCACTCCCCAAATGGCTACCGTAGCCAGGTATGGTCTAGGCCAAAGCCAGGAGCTAGGAACTCCATCAGGGTCTCCCACATGGGTGGCAGGGTCCAAGTACTCGGGCATCTTCTGCTGCTTCCTCAGGTGCATTTGCAGGGAGCTGAGTCAGTACCCACATGGGATGCCGGCATCTCGTAGCTTCTCTCCTCTCTCTCCCACTCCCAGTTCCCCTTGTTCTTCTCCCCAGACATCCCCCTCACCTCCTCATTTCCAGACTGCTTCTCTACGCCCCGACTGCCCTCTCATGCAGAGCAGTTCTGCCCCTGCGCCCTCTGCAGTCACTGGGTGTCCCTCTGAATGCTTACGGCCACCTGCGGAAGCAAGGGCAGGCGGCCTCCGTGCTGGGATCCGGCCTCCAGAGAGCAGGTGTAGGTGTGACTGGCAGGTCATCCTCCACGCAGCCGCTGCATCTGGGGAGGGCGCTGTTTGTCTGCAGGTGCGTACCATTGTAGACTGATGGGAGTTCATGTCACTGCTGTCAGGTGGTCTCTCCAGGTGGATTGTTTAGCAAAGGCACTATAGAATGCTCAGTCAGCAATATTTAACGTGCTCAAGAGCATTCGAATCTTTAAATTACCAGTGTTTAAAGAAATCAGGAAGAGGTTAGGCTAAGTTACTGCATTTGTTGACTCGTTTTAAAAGTAGGTTTTAGATACTGGTTCTTTCCTACTAATGATTCCTCTCTAACAGAGTTTGAAATAAGTAGTTAGCCTTTTATACCCACTTTTTCTCCAGTAGCAGAAATTAGAATAAATCATTTGCGTGTATTTTTTCATGTACGGAGATAGGACATTCAGGGAAAAAAGCTCCTCTTAAAAATACCTCGTTGTCTCCAAGTCCGCCGCCTGCATCCGCAGCCCGTCAGCTGGAGGTAGACATGTCTGGGGGGACTGCACCTGTCCCGGACGTGTGCAAACTGCTTTCCTTGTCCTTGTTCCCTGGTGGTGCATTCCTTGTCCTTGTTCCCTGGTGGTACATTCCTTGTCCTTGTTCCCTGGTGGTACAGCAGCTGCTTACGCGGCACTTGCAGCATGCGAGATTGTACGCGGGAGGACGTGTGCAGGTTATGTGCAGTTACTGAGCCGTCTGCTGAATGACTTGAGGGTCCAGAGAGTCTGGTGTGTTCAGTGGTCCTGAAACAAGTCTCTCGTGGATCTCACAGGTGACTGATGTCTACTCAGGCAGTAGAGGAGAGTTTTCTTTGATTTTAGGCCCTTAACAGAAAGCCTCAAGTGCAGATCTAATTCCATTCCTTGGGTGTTTGTCGGGGGTCTGATACACTTAATGTGGATAGAGGGTGGGCCCCCGGGTGCCAGGGGGAGCCTGGCTGACACTCGAGTAAGACACCTGGCTGGATTTGAGTCCCAGCTGCTCCATTGCTGCTCCAGCTCCCTGCGAATGCACCTGGGAAGGCAGCAGCAGATGGCTCAAGTCCTTGGGCCCCTGCACCCGTGCGGGAGACCTGGATGGAGTTCCAGGCTCCTGGCATTTGCCTGGCCCAACTCTGACCAATGCAGCCATCTGAAGAGTGAATCAGTGGATGGAAGATCTCTCACTGTCTGTCTCTCCCTCTCTGTAACCCTGCCTTTCGGATGGATGGATGGATGGATGGATGGACAGATAGATAGATAAAAAAGACAACTGGCTGACGTGAAGAGTGAGCCACGAGGTGCCAGGCAAAGCTTTCCAGCATTGCACATGGACTGAGCGGTGAACGGCCCAGCGGTGGCCTGTGCCTGGGATGTTTAAAGGTGACTGACATCTTCGTGCGAGACTAAACGTGTCCTTCTGTTCTCCAGGCATCCGAGATGTCTCTAAGTGGAGTGAGAAGGCAAGAAAGCCCCTGGAAGCCCTGTACGGCTATGACTACTTTGCCAAAACCTGTGAACAGTGGGTGGACGGCATACAGCAGTTTAAACGCCTCCCAGATGGTAGGTGCATGGGCTGTTTGACGGCTCCTTTGTCGGTTAGAGAGGATGCTTGAGTTGCCCATCGTGTTCCCGAGTCCCCATGATCCATGAGTCGCCTGTTGCCCTTGCACACCAGTGTATGGACAGAACGCTAGTCATCGTAGACAATGCAAGTGCTTGTGTCACAAATCTGCCTTCAACTGGAGACAGGACCGCACGGATAAAGGCCCTTATTGTTGCGTCTTTAACAGCAGGCTGTTCCTTTTCCTTCTGCTCCCTTGTGTGTGTGATGACAGAGTCATCCTCAGGAAGCTTCAGTTTCTGTTTTGCTTATTGATTTTCATCCGCCTGAAAGAGAAGCAGAAAGAGGTCTTTCCCCACGTTACTCCCCAAATGCCTGCAACAGCCAGGGTTGAGCCAACAAGCCAGGAGCCAGGAGCAGAGTGCAGGTCTCCACGTGGATGTCAGAGCCGTCACCTGCTGCCCCTCAGGATGCATTAGCAGGAAGCTGGGTCAGAACTGGAGGTGCAGGAACCCGGAACAGCACTCTGACACAGCGTGTGAGTGTCTGCAAGTGGCGACTTAGGCTGATGCACCCCGACGCCTGCCCCAATTTCTGTTTCCTAATTCTAATTTCTAACTCGCTATAGAACAGCCACAATATAGTCTGTGTCGTGCCACCCGACTACATCCTCTGACACCAGGACAGACAAGGAGGCACTTTCTGTCCTGATCTTCAACAGAATTAGTGTGAGGAATGGGGCCCGCCTGTGGTGCAGCAGGTTAAGCCTCTGCCTGTGATGCCAACATCCCATATGGGCTCTTGTTTGAGCCCCAGCTGCTCCACTTCTGTTCCAACCCCCAGCTCACGCGCCTGGGAAAGTAGCAGGAGATGAGCCAGTGCTTGCTCCCTGCTATCCATGTGGGAGACCTGGGTGGAGTTTCAGGCTCTTGGCTTTGGCCTGGCTCAACCCTGGTTGTTGTGACCATTTGAGGAGTGAACCAGTAGACAGAAGGTCTCTGTCTCTGTCTCTCTCTCTCTGTCTCCCCTTGTCTTTCAAATAAATAAATATTTTAAGAAATTAGTATGAAGAAGAAAGTATTTAGTTACTTTCCTGTCTTCAGAATTGTTATATGACCTTAGCTACAAACACTAGCCCCCTTTCTTTATCTGAAAACCTAACAAGGTTTCTGCTAACAGCAAGAATAGACGTCTCGCATAGATAGTCTGAGTTAAAGCCTATTTGCATACAAGTGTTTGTTTGCAGTCTCTCATTCTTCATCTTGGTTGGAAGAACAGAGGAGTTAAGGGCTAACCTTGGAGCAGGTCCAGGCCGTGTTTGCAGCACCAGCTCTATCTGCTAGATGATCCTTCCCAGCCCTGTCACCCGACAAAGCTTTCACAGTGAAAAGGACGTTTGGAAATGTTAGTTTTTGGGTTTAAGTTCGAAATCGCAAATGCGTGCTTCATAGTGATCCTGTTCCGCTTGTGGGAACAGTCCCTAAAACAAACAGCAGCATCCCCATTTGGTTATTCAATTAGCAGGAGCGGGTCACCCCAGGGACAGGAAAGGGCAGCTTCAGGGACGAGAGAGGCATTTCCCTGGCCACAGGTCACCCTTGCGTTCCTCGTGACGCAGGCGGAGACGGAGAGGAGGAGGAGGCGGCAGCCAGCCGAGTCAGTGCCAGACTCTCCGATACACCTCTGTGTTTAGCCTCAGTGACAGCCCCAGGGATTCATGGTCGCTCTGTTTTATTGTAAGCTCAGTGTGGTAAGGAGCCGCCAAGCCTCCACAGTCAGGGCTGGAGCTCGGGTTGTTCTGTAGCTGCACAGTTGGCACCTCCCCCTCTCTCAGATGTGTGTTTGGCACAGAGGCCTGAACGATGAAGAACGCCTACTTGCCATTAGCAAGTTGTGTCTTCATCATGTCCCTGTGGCCAGGGACTGGTCAGGGCCCTCACAGCCACCATTTGAGAGGTGACTCCAGGTAAGAGCTTACCGGGTGTCCAGCATTGGCCACTGCTTTGCAGTGGGGCCCGACTGCCCCTTCGTAACGTAGAGTTGGGCGGTCTGTGTTTGTTCCATTCCCCTGCTGTTTTACATGAATTATGAGCCTCAGTCAGGCGGAGCTGAAGAACCAAGCAGGAAAAACAGCAGAAGAATCAAAAAGGAAACACAAAGCACAGTGGCTGCAGGCACAGGCAGATGCGACCCCCGTTACAGACAAGGGAGCAGAGGTGCAGCGAGGGGCGTGGCGCCCGCCTTCCATAGGCACAGATGCGACCCCCGTTATAGACAAGGGAGCAGAGGCGCAGCCGCGTTCCGTAGGCACAGATGCGACCCCCGTTATAGACAAGGGAGCAGAGGTGCAGCCGCGTTCCGTAGGCACAGATGTGACCCCCGTTATAGACAAGGGAGCAGAGGTGCAGCTGCGTTCCGTAGGCACAGATGCGACCCCCGTTATAGACAAGGGAGCAGAGGCGCAGCCGCGTTCCGTAGGCACAGATGGACCACCGTTATAGACAAGGGAGCAGAGGTGCAGCTGCGTTCCGTAGGCACAGATGCGACCCCCGTTATAGACAAGGGAGCAGAGGTGCAGCGAGGGGCATGGCGCCTGCCTTCCGTTCCCCGTCAGTCGCCGAGAGTCGCACTGAGGCAGAGCCCTGGCACTGCTGTCTTGCAGGTAACATCTGTCAGCACTTGCTGCCCCTGGTTCAGTGCCCCACCTTAATCGTGCACGGCGAGAAGGATCCTCTGGTCCCACGGTTTCACGCCGACTTCCTCCATGAGCATGTGAAAGGGTCACGGTGAGTGGTCACTACATCAGTTCCCTGTCGCCAAACCTCATCCCAGGAAGGAAGGAGGCAGGAGGCTGAGGCGTGGGCACAGGGCGGCTCCCACGCAGTGGGCGGCCCTTCCCGACCCCGCCCTGGGGGTCCCCGCGCCTGGGAGGACTGAGGCTCTCAGAGAGAGGTCTCTCCTGGCTGCTCTGGCTGGCAGATGGGCTCACAAGTTCTGCAGCATCGATGACTGTTGGCATTTAGATCCAGCACTGTTCACTGAAACAACTTCATATTTCCCAATTTCCAGTTCAGTTCAGTTTTTTTATCTTCATAAAAGCACTACCCACAGTTTAAAAAATATACACATAAATACCAAAATAAGAAAACAAGTTGCTCTTGGCTTGCTGCCCATTTAAATACTTTACCATCATAAGCATTTTTATACACAGATGTAGTCCTATTTTATACTCAGCTCTGAATCCTACCTTTTCCCTCCACTTAAAATCATGTTGTAAGCTTCACATGTTTGTTCGGTCTTGAATGTCTCCACACCATAATGAGGACCTGTCGGCCACAGACACCGAGTACAGCATCCACCATGACACACAGGTGACTCTGATAACATACCTGGTAAAACAGCAGATGCGTATCGCCAGTTTTTATTCTTACTTCTGCCAGGCAGTCTTAGACATCAGGGGACTTGTAGAACACCCCAGAACTGGTTGGAGGAGTTGCTAGAGAGCCCCAGACCTGGGTCTGCCCGTGCCGTGCACATCAAGCCAGTCGCTGGCACCGGGGTGGTAGGAAGAGGTAGTTCATTGCAGTGCACAGAGGAGGGAGCCAGGCAGGCAAAGCCCAGTTTCCCGCCTCCCCAAGGGGGTGAAGGCAGTGAGTCTCACCGTTCACAGGCGGGGGTGCGCAGTGCTTGTCAGCTCGTGTGGCTGCTGGCTGGCGCACGGTGCACGTGGCCTTTGATTGGTCAGTGCTAAGGGCTGGCATGTTTCCGTTGGCGTAGCAGGGTGGGCTGCGGTCTGTCTGGGTCTGGGGTGCACTGGATATCGCTTCGTGTTGTCAGGGCCTGTGAGTCGCGGCCTCGCTCAGCAGAGGCTGGCACTGAGATGTTAGCTGGGTTAACTGGAGGGACAGCGTCCGTCTCGGGTCTCGGCTGCGGCTTATGTCTTACAGAGCGGCCGCAGGCTGAGGGAGAGACCACAGCAGGAGGCGTAGTGAGGCCCTCATCAGGCCAGCGGAAGTCGTGTTGCTCAGTCCCGTTCATTTCTGTATACACAGAAACCTGTGTGCTAAGTACTGGCTGGTACGGGAGCCAGCTTTCACTGGTGCTGTTACCAAGCTAGAAATTCCGAGTTGAGTACGTTCTTTGTTTCCTTTACACACAGAGGATGCACATCCTGGAGGTGAGAATGAGGAAGATGGGGGAGCCCTGGACTGACTATTTTTCTAACCAAGAGACATCCCAGTGAGCCTGGACCCCTCCCCAGGCTGCAGGTGTCTCTGAGCTGCCCCAGGCATCTTGGAATTCAGTGGAATCCTTTGGAAGGTGGATTTAGAATAGCAGTGTGAGAAGGTGCTGCCTGCCCCCCCCCCCCCATCAGGCCACTGCTGAGGCCTGTGAGGGCCAGCGCTGCCCCACAGGGTTCGTCAGGGTCCCTCAGCCCCCGCAGCAGCAGGAAGGCAGGCCCAGAGCCTTCCACTCCGTGTCACCGTCTTCTGCGACGTGATGCTGACGAGCGGGCTCTCCAATGGTTTGTTACTCTGCAGTGACAATCATTGTAAACCCTTATCATTCCTGTATCTATACAGCGTTTTCAGAAATTGAAAGGCCTCTCTTTTTTCCATACATTTTCTCCTTTCTCCTATACCACTTCAGCCACAAATCAAAAGAAATATACACGGGCATTTATAATAAGTAATCCTTTGGCCAGATTAGAGAGTAAGGAAAGAATAAGGAAAGAAGTTATGGGTGGACATAAAGGCTAACAGAGATGTTTATTGCTTTACTAGGAAATACAAGGTACTTTCTTTTTTTTTTTTAACAAATATTTTTAAAAGATTTTTATTTATTTATTTGAGAGGTAGAGTTACAGACAGAGACAGACAGACAGAAAGGTCTTCCTTCCGTTGGTCCACTCCCCAAATGGCCACAACGGCCAGAGCTGCGCCGTTCTGAAGCCGGGAGCCAGAAGCTTCTTCCAGGTCTCCCATGTGGGTGCAGGGGCCCAAGCACTTGGGCCATCTTCTACTGCTTTCCCAGGCCACAGCAGAGAGCTGGATTGGAAGAGGAGTAGCTGGGACTAGAACCGGCGCCCATATGGGATGCCGGTGCCACAGGCGGAGGATTAACCTACTATACCACGGTGCCGGCCCCACAAGGTACTTTCAAACTAGACTTTTGTAAGAGAATAATGCTAAGTCATATTCGTGGTGGAAAATTCAAGTAGCGTACTTTTTACTTTTTTAGACTGACTTTATTTGAAAGGCAGAGTTAGAGAGAGAGGGAGATGGAGACCTTTCATCCATCGGTTTGCTCTCAGAATGGCTTCAGTGGCCAGAGCTGGGCCAGGCTGAAGCCAGGAAGCAGGAACTTGATCCAAGTCTCCCATGTGGGTCCCAGGGGCCCAAGCACTTGAGCCATCATCCACTGCTTTCCAGTTAGTAGAGAGCTAGGTTGGAAGTGGAGCAGCCAGGACTGAACTGGTGTCTGTTACGGGATGCTGATGTCACAGGTGGCGGCTTAACCCACTGCACCACAATGCTGGCCCCCAAAATTTTGCTGTAAGTCTCAGTTTTTGGTTTTTTAAATTTATTTATTTATATATGTATATATATGATATTTCCCTATAGCATTGTATATATTTTTTTCTTCTTTGACAGACAGAGTTAGACAGTGAGAGAGAGATACAGAGAGAAAGGTCTTCCTTCTGTTGGTTCACCCCCCAAATGGCCACTACAGCTGGCGTGCTGCGCCTGTCCGAAACCAGGAGCCAGGTGCTTCCTCCTGGTCTCCATGCGGGTGCAGGGCTCAAGCACTTGGACCATCCTCCACTGCCTTCCCGGGCCACAGCAGAGAGCTGGACTGGAAGAGGAGCAACCGGGACAGAACCAGCGCCCCAACCGGGACTAGAACCCAGAGTACTGGTGCCACAGGCGGAGGATTAGCCTAGTGAGCCACGGTGCCGACCAGCATTGTATATTTTTAAAGATATTTTATTTAAATATCTAATTATACTTCACAGCAAACTTATGAAAAACATATTGTCCACCTTACAGGTGAGAAATCAAGACCAGGAAATGTTAAACAGTCGTCTAAGTTTGTGTAGCTAGTCAATGAGAAACCCAAAACCTTTTTTTTTTTTTTTTTTAAGATTTTATTTATTTATTTGAGAGGTGGAGTTATAGAAAGTAAGAGGGAGAGACAAGAGAGAAAGGTCTTCCTTCCATTGGTTCACTCCCTAGATGGCCACATCAGCTAGAGCTGTGCCGATCCTAAGCCAGGAGCCCGGAGCTTCTTCCGGGTCTCCCATGCGGGTGCAGGGGCCCAAGGACTTGAGCCATCTTCTACTGCTTTCCCAGGCCACAGCACAGAGCTGGATTGGAAGAGGGGCAGCCAGGACTAGAGCTGCACCCATATGGGATGCCGGCACCACAGGCAGAGGATTAGCCTGCTGTGCCACGCGCCGGCCTCCAAAAGCTTTCTCCTCCTAGCAAGTGCTTTCCAGCCGAGCACAGCTGCTTCGCATCAACACCCTTTTTTTTTTTTTTTTAAGATTTATTTATTTGAAAGACAGAGACAGATCTTCCATCTGCTGGTTCACTCCCCAGAGGGCGGAGCCGCACAGATCTGGAGCCAGGAGCCAGAAGCCTCCTCCAGGTCTCCCACGCGGGTGCAGGGGCCCTCCACTGCTTTCCCAGGCGTAGCAGAGAGCTGGATGGGAAGTGAAGCAGCTGAGACTCAAACTGGCACCCATATGGGATGCTGGCATTATAGGAGGTGGCTTTGCCTGCTTCGCCACAGCACTGGCCCCTCAGCGCACTCTTATTATGACAGGGGTGCCTGGAATGATGTGCTAGGGAGCCTGGGTAATTGTGGGCCAGCTCAGAAATGACAGGTTCGTGCACAGTGACATGCACAGTGAATGCAGTGTTCCCTTGAAGCAGGGTCAGTAAGAGTGAGGAAATGTAGTTTAGGAATTCTGTTTCAGACCCATCTCCTAGCAACAAATGCATCAACCTAGGAGAAGGACTCCCTTGCCGTGCAGATGTTACACTTCTGTGGACTGTTTTATAGACAGTCCTTTTCTTTAACAATATTCTTACCGACAAATGGGTTGAGTGTTTTCAGGAGTGACCATCTAAAATCAGCTTGTGGGGCTGGGGTTGTGGAGTCGGTACAGCCACCGCCTGCCACACCAGTGTCCCATATGGGCACCAGTTGGAGTCCCGGCTGCTCCCCTTCCCATCCAGCTCCCTGCTGTGGCCTGGGGAAAGCAGCGGAAGATGGCCCAAGTGCTTGGGCCCCACCACCCGTGTGGGAGACCCAGCTGAAGTTCCTAGATCCTGGCTTCAGCCTGGCTGAACCCTGGCAGTGTGGCCGCTTGGGGAGGGAGTCAGTGGATGGAAGACATCTCCCCTTCTCTCTGTAACTCTACCTTCCAAATAAATAAATCTCTAAAAATTAAAGCAAAATAAAATTGGCTTGTATTTTTCACTGGTTGCCTCTCTCTGCCTGATTCTGCCGAGAGCTTGGTAGGTTTGTGTTGCCCCGTGTCGGCCCACAAAAGGAAAGTGGATTTGCTGAATACCAGAACCCGGCTGTGACCTGTGCAGCAGCCGCGTGACAGCAGGGAAGCAGCTCAGTGTGGCAGTGAACTTGGTATTTCATTACCTTGTCAGTGCGTTGTTTTCTTAATGGAAGGATTGGGGATTTTTTTTTAAGTTGTTTTGACTTGAGTTTTCTCATCCATTAGTTCACTCCCCAGATGTCCACAACACTTGGAACTGTGCTG